CCCAGGGAGGGGCTGGAGTCTCCTCCCTGGGGATATTCCAGAGCCCTCTGGACACAATCCTGTGCCCTGTGCTCTGGGCTGGCCCTGCCTGAGCAGTGAGGTGGCTCCAGTGACCTACTGAGGTGCCTTCCAACATGATACATCCTGGGATTCTGTGGAAAAAAGCACAACCAGAATGGGACATGTTGTGCTGGTCCATCTCCAGCTGTTTTCCCAGTGCCTGGGTAGAAATCCATACACACTTTGCCACCCTGGGTCACTGCATCCCCACTTCATCCATCAGCAACTCAGAGGGGCACTCCCACTTGTCTCAGTCACATCCCTATCCTTGGGAAAACACTCAGGGATTTATGGACCACAACAACCACGACAACAGTTTCCAAAGGTTCTCAGCCTACAGAACGTGGTCCAGTAACACTGAGGGAAACAGATCCCAAATCCAACCCAAAAGGATCCCAAATCTGACTGTGGGGGTGAGAGCTCACAGACCATAGGTTGTTTTCTTGCTCAGCACGTCTGGCTGATTTATTCTGGGGGGGAAAAAGCATCAACTTGTTTATAAAATCATAAGGGATGGAAAATCCATCCCTTCCCTCCTGAGCTGCTGGACCCTCATTATTAATTTGCACCTCATTCCTCACTTGGATTTTAGCATTAGGAAGCAGCAATGGCTGGAAGAAACATCTTTCAACAGAGACTCCTCACCCTGACACAGAGACAAGGAGTCACATCCTTAGTGCTTCCTCCAAGCACTTGTCTCTCAAGTCAAGTCACCTCTCAATCATCCTCACAAACTCAAGGCTGTCAGAGGACGAGGCTACAAAACTTCAGATGTGATGTTTGGAAAGGGCACAGTCCCAACTGCACATGTTAATGTCTTTCCTTTTCCTCTCAATTTAATTTGGGAGGGAGAGGACACAGGACAAGAAACAACTGGAGCCTTCTGGGAGTGCACCTGCTGTTTAACACCAACTCCTCTCACAAAATGGTTCTCAGCACAGGAAGTTTAACACAAAGATCAGCTCAGTGAGAACAGCTCTAGAAAGGATAAAACTTGCTCCAAACAGCAGTGGACAGAGCGTAGGGGGGTTCATCCTGTTTGCTGCAATGAGAAATAGCACAGATTATTATCTTTTACTCCTGAGCTTCCTTTGAAAATGGATGTAGCAGCTAATCTCCAACATGCTGGATGAGGCGGGCAAATCCTCCTGGGAATGATCCCTTATCAAATTCACTCCTTTACTGAGGCTCAAGAACTTTGTGCAGAACTTCAGTTCAAAGCATGAAATCCATTCTCAGTGTAACTGGGCCAAGGTTGGACAGGGTTTGGAGCAACCTGGGCTAGTGGAAGGTGTCCCTGTCCGTGGCAGGGGGTGAGATGAGATGAGCTTTAAGGTCCCTTCCAACCCAAACCATTCTGTGGTTCTTTAACCACCTCACTGAAGCAACAGGTTCGAAATCCACCCCTTTGCCCTTCTATCCCTGTGTTCCAGAAGAATCAGCCTGGTTTTGGTTACAGAAAGAAAACAGCCAAGAACACCCTTTCTCAGCCAGGACTGTGTCCTCTCCTCTTCCTTTCTCCCACTCCTCTGTCTGGATTATCCAAGCAGAGGATTATTTTGCAGCAGGCCCTGACATCCCCAACCCTGCAGCCCCAGGACAGGATCAGCACTTGCCAAACCCCACAGGGCGAGCCCAGCAAGGTACAATTTGTGTTTTCAGCAACTCCCTTTGCCCACTTATATTTTTTTAAATGTGCACAGACCAAACCTCCCCACAATTCCCACTGGCAGTGAGTCACAGGAGCTGCAGTGCCAGCTCGTCTTGGGCTCAGGAGGATTGACTCAGCCTCGATGCATTGATTCACTGGGAAAACATGGGGCTTGGATTTTGCTTCCAGAGAAATCAGCAGCACCTTCCCGACACAAAGCATCAGCACTTCCACACCCCAGAAGCACTTTAAGGGAGTTTTTGGGTACCAGAATCATGTATAACGTGGTTTGAGCAGGGCAGGGATTGTCCCCCTGTGCTGGCACTGCTGGGGCACCTCCAGTCCTGGGGGCAGTTTTGGGCTTCTCATGACAAGAGAGACATGGAGGGGCTGGAACATGTGCAGGGAAGGGGCTGGAGCAGCAGGAGCAGCTGAGGGAGCTGGGGGGGCTCAGCCTGGAGAAAAGGAGGCTCAGGGGGGACCTTCTGGCTCTGCAACTCCCTGACAGGAGGGGGGGCAGGGGGGGGGGCCGGGCTCTGCTCCCAGGGAACAAGGGGCAGGAGGAGAGGGAACAGCCTCAAGCTGTGCCAGGGGAGGGTCAGGTTGGACACCAGGAGGAATTTCTCCCTGGAAAGGGCTGTCAGGCACTGGAAGGGGCTGCCCAGGGAGGTGGTGGAGTCCCCACTCCTGGAGGTGTCCAAGGAAGGACTGGAGGTGGCACTCAGTGCTCTGGGCTGGGGGACAGGGCGGGGATGGGGCACAGGGTGGACTCAACAGCCTTGGGGGCCTTTTTCAACCAACAGGATTCTGTGATTAAGAGGAAAAACCCAACAAACAGCAGCTTTCCCAGGAGCTCTTGCTGTCCCCACGTGCAGCTGAGCAGGGCTGGCAGAGCAGTTTCCCCAACTGGAGCAAATATTAATTGGTTCTTGTTTTCCCAGTGTTTCAAGGACCCTTCAAAGTGCAGTTGCTCTGAGGAGAAAATGCACCTGCTAGTTGAGCTCTTTTTCCTCTCCTCTTCACCTTGGCCAAAGTATTTTTAGCTGTATGGACAGACCTGCCAATACTTTCACCTTCAATCCATTGCAAGGAACTTTCTGACAACACCCAGCAAGGAATGAACCAAATCCATCCAGGGTCAAGAGAGGCAGCAGGAAAGAAATAATGAGCAAAAGCAAGTCCCCAAAGGGCTTTTTCAACATTTTTTTGCCTTCAATATTTTAGCTCCTGTTGTTCCCACACTGCTCCTGCTCCCATAGAACTCGGTTTGTACCTGATTTCAACACACTCAAGAGTTTGAGATTTTAAGACCAGACATTCACACACAATCCACCTGATCACACTTTCCAGAATAAACTGGAACCCTGCTGAGTCCCCCAGATCTACTAATCTGAGTAGATTTGGCAGAAAATAGCCCAATATTGTCATCTCAGAAGGCAGAAAAACTCACTATTTAAAGGAAACCCTCTCTCCTGGCTGTTCATCTCAGCAGGAAACGTGTCAACAGCTGCCAAATTGGTAAATACAAGGATTTGCTTCCATCAGAGCACAGGATCAGAAAGAAGAGGAGGAGACTTGCTCACGAAGCACTATTGTTATTAATTCATGCTGGGCCCAGGATGGGGCATTAATTGCTACAAAACATGTCACACCAAGCTCTGAGCTGACACAGTCCCATGGGCCTTCAGGTCACTGCTCAGCTGCCTCAGGTGGACACAAATCACTTCTAGTTTGGGTTAATCTTGCAGAAATAAGCAGATTTCCATGGAGGAGGGGGGTGGCCAGAGCTGGCAAACTCCAGCACACACAATTCCATGTCTTTAGGGTCAAGGGAACCTCTGAGAACCAGAGCAAAGTGACATGTGGGGGTTTGTGACTCTTCCCAGGCTTCCCTGAATTTCCAGCTTTCCTTCAGCAGCCTTTTTTCAGTGTTACCCCTTCATTAGGAAATCTATTATTTGATGATCTCTCCATCTCTCCCAGCAGTTTACTGTCCCATTTGAGACACATTCTTTTGTCAATGAGTTTGTCCCCACACGGAAAACAGATCAAACCTGCTAAAATTTATACACCTGAATGTACAAACCATGCAAATATGCTCCCAGCACATCCAGAACCCACCCCATGGCCCACCTTGAGAGCCTCTGAAGCCTCTCAAGTCTTTTGTAGAAAGTCTCTCCTTTTGTAGAAAGTAGAAGTAAGATGAGAAGGAAGAAAGAAAAGGTGTCCTGAGCAGGTAAAGTGGAGAAGGAATTAAAAAAAACTATTTAAAAGTACATTCTTAACTGGGTACCTTTTCAGCCAAGGCCTTTAAACTGTCCAGAAACCTCTGCCAGAAGTCCTTGAAGAGGGGTCTGTCAATTCTCCTCAGGCTCTCCCTGGTGCTGGCATCCACACTGACATACAGCTGGGTCACTGGCTCCAGGCTCCTTTGGAAAGAAAAAGCAGGGAATTGCTGTTTTCAGACATTGCTGCTGCTTGAGTTCGTGTTTTTGTGTTACAGGAGCTCCCACCAAGCTGCTCTGCAGGTCCAGTAGCAACAGGAACTTGGCAAACCATCCAAGCTCCAGTGGCTCATCTCTGCCAAGTGACCATCGTCCGTGGCGAGATGCTGGAACCTTCCACCAAATAACACCCCCCAAAGCTGGGAACTCACACACACAGGCCTTGGCTGACAATTTAATTATCTTTTCCTCACTGAACTGGAACATATTTCACTCCAGAGTAGCTGTAACACACCGGGAAAGGCTTCCCAAAGGAGGCTGCCAGGGAAGCACGGAGAAGCTCTGCTGCTCCCCACAGCCCCCATGGTCAGAATCCACACAGCTCAGCCCCTGCCCCAAGTTCTGTTTGCTCTGGCCCATGGAAAACTAATCCCATTCAATAGAAATGGACCTCAGGAGGACATTTCTTCCTGGAAAGGGTGGTCAGGCACTGGAAGGGGCTGCCCAGGGAGGTGGTAGAGTCCCCCACTCAGTGCTCTGGGCTGGGGGGACAAGGTGGGGATTGGGCACAGGGTGGACTTGATGATCCTGGAGGGCTTTTCCAACCTCAGTGATTCTGGGATTCTAAATAGAGGCATAACTTCCTACTGCTGTCTACACTGAACTTACCTGACCTGCAGGTGGATCCTCAGCCAGTTTTTTTAAGGGATATTAAAGCTGTTTAGAAAACAAACCCACACACAAACCACCACCGTGTTCTCCTTCCACTAACAAGGCCTTATTCCACACTGTGCTGGTGAGCTCAGCATCTGTGAGCCCAACACTGGTAATCCCCAAAGAGTTTAAACCTCCTGTGCTGTCTGAAGAGCCTGGGTTGAGTCTAAACCCTTCCAGAAATCAAGGGAATAAAGGAGAAGCAGCAACAGATGCATCAGCAAAGGGATCATTGAGGGCATTGAGAAAAGCTAGAAGGAGTTCCCTTAGAATTCCAGGTTGGAAAAGCCCTCCAAGATCATCAAGACCAACCTGTGACTTGTCCCCCAGCCCAGAGCACTGAGTGCCACCTCCAGTCATTCCTTGGACACCTCCAGGGATGGGGACAAACCCTGGTGACAGACAGAAGGGACAAAGCCAGTGAGTGTGACACACCCAGCCCTCGGGGCACCTTCCACCCCGGGGGTTTTGAGATGAACAATCACATCCCAAGTGTCCCCCAGAGCTCAGTGTGGGGACAGCATTTTGGGAGTGCAATGAGCAGGCACCAGTCCCAGCTTCGTGTGCTTCCTTGGAGAAGATGAGAAGACATTAGAAACCACTGTTCAGCTGCCAAACAGGGCCACCTAAAAACACAGCCACCCCCTGGCCACCCTGAAGGTGACAAAGGGACAAGGCCTGGCCAGAATGAGACTGAACAGAGCTCTCTGTGTCCAGAAAAATCCACTTCACGTGGACACTCAACCAACCATCTGAACACATTCCCTCTGCATGAAGAACCCAGAACAAACTGAACATTTCAGGTTAAAATATCAGTTTGGGAAATGAGCCTGTCTGGACTGGCAGCCCAAAGCCACAGACTCCAAAATGACCAAATGTTCTAGGCCTAAGTGGATTGGAGTGTTCAAAGAATACTGAGCCAAAATACTCTTTTTTACTCAATGCTTCGTTTGCTTAATTAGAAGGTGCCCCAGTGAAGATGGAGGGGGTGTTTTTTAAACTGCAGGCTGAGAAAAATCATCTCTTCTCTGAGGAATTCCAAGCTAACAACAGGCAAGAGCCAGACTCACTGTTAGATGGAGAAAATTAAAGAATTAGAAGAGATCCCAAGGAGGGATTTCTGCACCACATTGCTCCAAGCAGGAGAGGTCCACAGGGCCCTGCCTGGCTGGGAATTGAGCCAGGATGAACTTGGACATGCTCAGGGAACAAGGAGAAAGGGCAACCATGGGTGCCATGAGAACTAAAACCCACCTGATGTTCCTGGAACTCAGCTACACTTTATAATTAACAGGAGATTTAGTTGGATGGTACCAGGATGGGGTTTTGGTTGTCTGAGGTGACATCCAGGACACCAAATCCATGGCATTTACACACCAGCCAGGAGGTGGTTCCAGCAGCCCACCTGGAGCAGACACAGCAACACCAAACCCGAGCATCTGCTTATGAGCAATGATGAGAATCTGCTCATTGTTATCTCTGAGGATCACAAATGCAAACAGACACAGGAGGGTTCCTGTTCAGAGCCAGGAAAGCTCCATCACTTTGTGGATGTGTGTGTGGGGCAGCTGGAGCTGCAGTCCAGAGAGAAGAGGAGGAGGAGGAGGAGGAAGAGAAGGAGAGGAGAGGAAGGCCCAGGAGACACCACACTGCAGCCCCAGTGGGCTCCTGTCCCAAACCCAGCAACAGCCCAGCCCACACTCCACTCCCATGGAATGGTTTGGGTGGGAAGGGACCTTAAAGCCCATCCAGTCCCACCCCTCTGCCATGGGCAGGGACACCTTCCACTAGCCCAGGTTGCTCCAAGCCCTGTCCAACCTGGCCTTGGACACTTCCAGGGATGGGGCAGCCACAATTTCTCTGGGTAACCTGTGCCAGGGCCTCCCCACCCTCACAGGGAAGGAGTCCTTCCCAATATCCCATCTCACCCTGCCCTCTGGCAGTTTGAAGCCATTCTCCCTTGTCCTGTCCCTCCATCCCTTGTCCCCAGTCCCTCCCCAGCTCTCCTGGAGCCCCTTTAGGCCCTGGAAGGGGCTCTCAGGTCTCCTTGGAGCCTTCTCTTCTCCAGGTGAACCCCCCCAGCTCTCCCAGCCTGGCTCCAGGGCAGAGGGGCTCCAGCCCTTGGAGGCCTTTGCAGGCCCTTGTCCAAAGGCCCTTCCTGCACCAGAGGTCACTCTGCTTATTTTAGGAGTAACATTTCCACTCCAGCTGACAGCACAGAACTGAGCCTGGTGCCTACTTCAGTTCCCACATTAAGTAAATCATTTGCTTTGATGAGCCAAAGATCAGTTGCAATTTTTAAGACAGCAAGACCAGCGTTTTATCACTTTCTTTTTTGTTTCTTTTCAAACAGATTCAGCAGATCCGAAGAAGTGCAGCTTCAAAATAGAGTGTGTGCTCCCTTTTTAAACTGCTATATTTAGGAAAGAGCAATTTCTATCTATCAGGCACATAATACATGACTTAAAGTAACTTGATTACACAATTATTCAATCATTTGGAATGCCTTTGTGGTGTATAATCACTCCCTCCAAAATTGCCTGCCCTCCCCCCCCCACTGCCATATTCAGACCACAAGGAGTGAAAAGGAAGCTCTACCAGAAGTACTGACACAGAGAGCACTGAGCTGAAATGAGGAGCTGAGTGACACCCCAAAGCCACCCTGCACTCAGCTCACCCAACTCCAGGCTTGGACTTTGCCAGAGGGATCAGCTGATGGAATTCTGAGCTCCCACTCAGTGCTGTGTTTCCTTGCTACTCCGCTTCAGACTTTGTTAAAAGCAGCCTGGATGCTCCAAAGCAGCAGAAAAAGGGATTCTTTGCATTTGTAAAGACTCTTGGAGTGTCCATCAATATGTTTGTTACACTTAGAGAATCACAGTTCAAGTGTCTCTGAGAGGAAGGTAAAAACCTCTGATCTCACTTTGCCAATGAGTGTGTGCTTGTCATGTGTCCTTATCCTGCACTCAGGGTCCTGCTGGAGATGCTGGGCTGGACAGAGCTTTGGTTTGAGCCAAAAGCTGCTCTTAGGGAGTGAGAACAAAGGTCAGACCCAAAATTTATGAGTTCAGTCTCCTGCTGTGGCTGACAGAAACACTCGCAGCAGGTATCCACATCCCCGAGCTCAAAGCACAGCTCCCTCCCTGTTCTCCTCCTTCAGCAGGTACAGCATTCCATTCTCTTCACTTCCAGAAGCAATCCCAGTTTGTTTAAGAGGTACAGAAAGGAAAATCAAACTGGGGAAGAGGAAGAGATGAAAATGAGCCCGTGGAGATTGAGGTTCAAGTCAAAGACATGCTGAGAGGGTTTTCCATTGCCATCATGCAGAGCTCACTCCAATGGGGGATAAAGTGGAATCAAGACACAGGTCAGCATTCCAATCGTTTAGTAGGAAGGTATTTCATCCAGCCCTTACCTGATCTCCTCTGGGAACTGTGCATTGGTCACCAGGAAGCTGGAGATGCTGTGTTGGTGCAGGAGCCTCACGAAGCGGTTGATCTGGGGGTACATGATGGGCTCCCCCACCAGGGACAGAGCACAGTGTTTCACTGTCAGGGCCTCCTCAAAGCGAGCTGCCTTCACCCCTGACACACCTGGAAAAGGGGGAAACAGCTTTACATCAACAATGGATGGGGCCCTGAGTGACCTGGTAAAGTGGAAGGTGTCCCTGCCCATGGCAGGGCTTGGAACGAGATGACTTTTAAGGTCCCTTCCAACCCAAACCATTCTGGGATCCCATAACAAATCCCCCTCCCAAACCTTGCATCTGTATCCAAAATACACCCTGGCACAAGGAGGACTGAGAAAAGCAGCTGGAGCCCTCTGGAACCAGAGGGGACACCAGGCCACAGACAGCACCCAGGAGTAGATCTGCAGGAACCCACAGACACTGTCCACCCAGGGCCTGGGGCTGTGTGTGCCCTGATCACTGCTGTGAGCAACCTGGGTAGTAGTAACGAGTAACCTTTGAGCCCAGCTTTAACATTTGAGCCCAGCTTTAACATCTGAGCCCAGCTTTCCCTTGCTGAGCCCTCGGTGGTGCTGCCTGAGCGCTGAGACAGAAACACAAGAGGCAGTTTGATGCAACTTCAAGCAGGTGTCTTAAAAAAGAACCCCAGGTTATGTGTGTGTGTGTCTGCTGCTGGTCCCTGTGGCCCCCCAGCCCCAGGAAAAGCAGTTCCTGGGGGAGCTGAGCACGTGTCACTGGGCAGAACATCAACAGCTGGGGCTGAATCCACACCGGCAAACACACAAGGAGGAGTTCAAAACCCCACCACAACATGGCCCTGAACAGCCAAAGAGATTTCAGAAGGAAGAGGAAAACAAGGAGCTCAACTGTAGCATCCATGTGGAAACACTCCCTGCAGGTCTGACCCACCTGAGGTCACGATTCCCAGGGGAGAAAAACCCTCCTCCAGCCCACCCACCCCTGCCCAAGAGCCCAGGACCCCACATGGAATCACCCAACTGCAAACAAGCCTCTGCTCCAAATATGTCACTTCACATTTCCTTGATGTGCCTTGATGTCCTCCAGTAATATCTGAGGGTTTAGATTGGGGGCTGGTCCCTTTTAAAGATAAAAAAACAAAGCCCCGAGTGTGGATCCAGGTCCTCAGCTCACCTCTCGTTGCCTTGACGCTGCAGCACAGAAAATTCCACCCTGTGCTGCAAAGCCCAGATAAAAAGGGGTGTTTGTGGATATTGCTGCAGCCTCGTGTAGAAAAAAGCTGATTTGGAATCAGAGCAGAGCTTAGTGAATTTTAAACCAGCCAGGCTCAGTCCTGAGCCAGTGACAGGACTAATGGTTATTCCATAGAAACTTGACAGTACTAAATGAGAGCTTTATTTGAAAAGAAAGAAGCATCTGAACCACACACTGAGATTAAAGGACTAACTTTGGTATTCCTGAAGCTACTGTAAGTCACTTTTGGAATTAATTAATTCCCCTCTCTCAGCATCTCTCATCTGGACTCCCATAATTACCGTGGCAGCTTTGTAAGCAGAGAGAAGAAAATTCCATCATCACCTAAAGTTGGAGTGGAACTTTCTCAAAACAGTTTACACCAAATCTGCTGAAGAGCAAACACAGCCCAGAGGAGGGAGAGGGTTTGTGTGCAAACATTTGACCCTACAAATCACCAGCCAGGCAGGGATAAACTGCACAGCATTAGTGCTATTCCAGGAGGGCAGGAACTCTCCTGCACTTGGGGCTGTTGTACCCTCAGGGACTCTCAGGATTTCCCAGCACAGGTCATGCATTTTTGTTTGGTTTTTTTTTCCTTTTCCCAGGGCTGTATTATCAGAGACTCCCACTCTCCTGTTTCTGAATTATGTTTCCATTCTCTGTGTGCCCTTTGCAAGGGCAGAGAGATTTACCAGTCACTCCCTGGAAAAATGTATCCATCAACTGAACTGCTTCCCACCTTCGCTCCATAGCAGTAACATTTCTCTCCATCACTTACTCTAAGAGAGAATTATGTGACTTTAATGTCTGTGGTCTTCAAAACCAGCACAAACTATGGCAACAATAAAGGAGAACATGATATATTAGAGGGACTCAGAGTATTGAGGGCTGTTCCTCCAGGATATCCTAAAGGATAAAGGGACACAAGAATTCTTCTGTTCCTTCAAAGAAAATCTCATTTCTACTTCAATGCATGGAATTAATAAAGCCTCATAGAATCCCAGAATGGTTTGGGTTGGAAAGGGACCTGAAAGATCACTCAGTCCCACCCCCTGCCATGGGCAGGGACACCTTCCACTAGCCCAGGTTGCTCCAAGCCCCATCCAACCTGGACTTGGACACTTCCAGGGATGGGGCAGCCACAGCTTCTCTGGGCAACCTGGGCCTCTCCACCCTCACAGCCACAATATCCAACCTAAATTTCCCCTCTGGCAGTGGGAAGCCATTCCCCCTTGTCCTATCCCTCCAGGCCCTTGTAAACAGTCCCTCTCCATCTTTCCTGTTGGCTCCTTCAGGCACTGAAGGACCACAATCAGGTCTCCCTGAAGCTTCTCTCCTCCAGGCTGAACAGTCCCAGCTGTCCCAGCCTTTCCTCCCAGCAGAGCTGCTCCATCCCTCTGATCCTCCTGGCGCTCCTCAGATGAGCTCAGCAGTTCCTTTGGCACGTGGAGATGGCACTGGGACTACAAAGGGCAGCACCAATTCATTCAAATGGCTTTGGGCATCACCTGAGCAGCATCGCTGGGTGCTCAAGCCCTGAGGGATCTCTAGGTAAGACATTTCCCCATGGTTTTATTCTCCAGGAGCCCAAATTTGTCTATTCTGCTCTGGGGGTCAAACAGCTCAGCCCTGCTGGAAGTTCCTCTGGAGTCCCAGTCAGTGTTGCAGAATCATGGAATCACTGAGGTTGGAAAAGACCCCCAGGATCGAGTCCAACTGTTCTCCCAGCACTGCCAGGGCCAAAACTAACCCATGTCCCCACGGGCCACATCCACACAGTTTTTAAACCCCTCCAGGGATGGGGACTCCACCACTGCCCTGGGCAGGTGGGCCAGGGCTGGACAACCCTTTCCATGGAGAAATTTTTCCAATATCCAATCTGACCCTCCCCTGGCACAGCTTGAGGCCGTTCCCTCTCCTCCTGTCCCTTGTTCCCTGGGAGCAGAGCCCGACCCTTCCAGCTCCCCCCTCCTGTCAGGGAGTTGCAGAGCCAGAAGGTCCCCCCTGAGCCTCCTTTTCTCCAGGTTGAGCCCCCCCAGCTCCCTCAGCTGCTCCAGCCCTTTCCCTGGACATGCTCCAGCCCCTCAATGTCTCTCTTGTCCTGAGGGGCCCAAAACTGCCCCCAGCCCTCGAGGTCCCCCAGCAGTGGCAGCACAGAGGGACAGAGCCCAACCTGCCCTCCTGCCCCACAACAACCTGCTCCTCACTGCTCAAGCCCTGGGGTGGTTTGTGGGGTTTTGATGTTTTTTTTGTTTGTTTGTTTCAAAAATCAATCCCAATAAAATCCACCTGCTGTTTGTGGAGCTGCTAAGTTGGCTGGAAAGACACAGTCATGTTTTGTGCCTGAGGCAGCTCCAGCCTGGCACAGCCCACTGGGGACTTCCATCCTTTCCTGCATCCTTTGCCTGTCCCTGCTTCAGCTCCCCCCACACTGCTCCAGCTCCATTTTGCTTTCACTGGATTCTGCTCCAACAATATTTCCACAGGCACCCCAGGGAAGCAACAGTGTTACATCCCCAACATGGAACAGCAGCTCCTGGGCTTTTCCTACCGATTTTTCTTCTCCTTAATAAATCTTTGGCTCCCAAGACAGGAAGCATGTTGCCATCTATCACTCCGAAAAAGTAACACAGCTTTTCTTTTCCCACTTTGCAGCTCGTTTCTAGTCCAGAACCATTTTTTTTCCCCCTGCTCTTTCTCCTTTCACAGTTCCAGGTCAAGGGTAACTGTGCTGAGGATGCACAGGCACATTTCAGGGAATATTTATGAATTTGTTTAATGGAGAAGAAGCTCCCAAAGGAGAGAACTGGGATGTCCTTACAGGCCTCTTGACACTTTAGCAATATTTTCAGATGCTGACAAGTCTGTCCATAAGGATTCCCTGTTCCCAGCCCTTTTTGGGAAGAGAGCAGGGAGTAGTAAAGGAAAGAAAAGGTTATTCCTTAGTCCAGGGTGATAATGGCTTTACTTAAAGGACTTGAAAGACTCCAAGGCTGGAGACTCCCCCACCTCTCTGGGCACCACCTTGGCTGAACAAGCTGATTTTGGTGTCTGAGCTGACCCTTCCAAACACAACCCCAAGTCTGTGGTCCCTTGTTCTACCACAGCAGGTGGGTCTGTGGGTTCAGCGTGGGCTGACAGGGGGTTACAGACTCCTCCAGAACCTTCCACTGCTTACACTCACTGGATCATCGAGGTTGGAAAAGGCCTCTAAGATATCAAACCCAACCAAGTTTATCACATTTGGGAAACCAAATAAAACCTCCCAAAAAACAGCCATCTCTTTACAGAGGCAGAATGAATAAACATCAAACTCACAACAGGTTCCTATTTGAAGGAAAAGCAGTGCTACTGAGAGGGGATAACTGCAGCTTCAGTCAGAAAGAGGTGTTTGAATAATTCCTGAAAATAGCAATACCCTGAACACTGCTGCTTAATTATTAATGGAAAAAACACAACCTGGAAGTTTCAGAATGAACACAAAAGCAGGGGATTAAGGCTGGATATTTCCTGATCACTTTTGCCCTCACTCGTACAGAAGAGCCAAGATTCCCCATCATCCAAACCAGTTTAACCACTGTGGAAATCTCTGTGCTCACCAAGGGAAAAGATGTAACAACCACTAAGGTGCAACTCCCCTCCTCCCCTCCAGGCAGCACCAGATACCCAGTGGCTGAGGGAAAGGTCAAACAGCTCAGAAAACAACAAATGTGCCACAGGAGTTTCTTCTCCCCCATCTCTGTGATGTCCCACATCTCACACACCTCCCTCCCAGATGACCAGAATGTTCTCCCCCATGCTCTGAAGGTGCCACTGCTGGTTGTCTTCTCAAAGCACCACCCATGGGGTGGGAGGAGAAGTTACCTTTGAACTGCTTGATCATGTTCTGATGGTTCTCAATGGCCTCCTGCAGGATCAGCTCCGGCTGGTCCATCTTCCAGCGCCACTCTGTGCCCACGGGGTTCGTGTGGTGCCTGAAGGGAGAGGAGACAAGGCACTCACTGGCATTTTAACACACATAGGAGGACCCACCTGCCACCTTTGGCAGTGTTTAACAACATTAAAAGCAACAAGAACTTCCCAGCAACATCCTGCTGCTGACCCAACTTTTGGGCGTCATCCTTGACCACCACTCCCATACCTCTCTCCTTCCAGGCTCTGCTCTCCCCAGAGGGAAAAATGGACCTTGCAGCTCCTATTAAACTTAACATACCTATTCTGAACCCCAGGTGAAAGGTTTCTAAGCTAAAATGATGCTCTGCAGCCACGAAAACCTCTGTAAAGAAAGGAAAACTGGTTCCACCTCCTCTTCTGACCACAGCTGCAGGAAGCTCTGGAGAAGGAAGGTCCCAGGACACCTTTAGTTCCATTTTAAAGGTACCAAACACCACCCTGAGAAGGACAGGATTTGTTTCTAATCCAGTCTTTGTTTTCTGCTGTGGCAACAAGGCAGATTAGGGCAGGATGCTTCAAACTCTGAGAGCAGGAAGTCTGCACTGTACCACAGTGGTGGATGTGGGTAATGTCCCAGATTTTAATTCCTCTGAGCCAAGCAGATTGAAGGAGAAACCCCACAGATCTTCCCTCTGAGGAACAGCACATTGGGTTAGGAAGCCAACCTTGCCTGGAAAGGATCATTGCACCCAAAACCAGCAAAAGCCCACCCAGGAAAATCCACACAAGCACCTGGAAGATCTGCAGAGTTTCTCCCCATTTCTTATTTATTAGCATGAGAACATGTCACAAAACCATTGTAAGTCAGCTGGGAAAACAACCTGCATCCTCAGCAGCAAATGAGACATCACAAGCAACTGGTTGGTCCCCATCATGGTCCCACCTGACAAACAGCCCAGAGAGAGCCTGTCCCCTACTCAGAGCAATCCCCCACTCCTGCTGCACTTGGATCAGCATCAAACAGGGATCATCAGCCTTTAAGGATCATCTTAAGTCAATGAATTTCAGTGTTTTCACCTCCTTGTTCTCTCTCCATCTTTACTGCTTCTTCCAAAATACGCTGCAACAGCTCCTTCCCTCTTCCCTCCCAGCCCCACTGCACTCGGAATAATCCACTGAGAAAAGAGCAGCACATTTGGCAGTGTCTGTCACAGAAGCTGTTGGATTAACACAGCTCTGCACAGGGAAACAAGACCAAGGAATATATACCTCTGACACTGAGATTTCTGCCCAGGTGACCCCTGTTTCCAGCCCCACTCTCCAGCAGCCCTGGAAGGCTGCCAAGGAGAGGGCTGGGAGGTGCCCTGCTGCATTCAGCCTTCCAGTTCCAGGGACATCAGGACACGATCCCAGCAGTTAACTAAGGGAGGAAAGACAGGGAAGCACTTTCTCAGGATGAAGTGGCTGATCCAACACTTGCTGGAGACAAGTAAAAGACTCCCACTGACTTTGAACAAGGGGGAATGGATTCAAACTAAGAGTAGATGAAATATTAGGGAGAAATTGTTCCCTGGGAGGGTGGGGAGGCCCTGGCACAGGTTGCCCAGAGAAGTTGTGGCTGCCCCATCCCTGGAAATATCCAAGGCCAGGTTGGACAGGGTTTGGAGCAACTTGGGCTAGTGGAAGGTGTCCCTGCCCATGGCAGGGGGTGGAACAAGATGAGCTTCAAAGTCCCTCCAACCCAAACCATTCTGGGATTCTCCAAGTGAAAACCTGCAGCTGCACACTCTGCCAGTGCTAAAGCCCAAATTCCAGACCCAGCCTCACTAAAACCAGCCTTTTGGCCCAAACATTTCCTCACCCACTTCAAGAGCAAAGATTCAAACGCTGCTCCCAAACTTTACCACCTCAAGGATCCTTTAAGCCGAAACAGCTTTGCTTTCTGAATTTCCCCTTTTTCTCCCTCATCCGCCAACATGGCAAGTTTTCTGAATGTCAGCTATAAAATGCATTTATAAAACTCTTACATGTTTAACTACATAACTTGTACCTTGTATATTTTATAGGGCAAGTTGGCAGAAAATCAATAAGCTCTGGATACACCCTGGACAGCTGTTGGTGTCCAACAGGCCCTGAATTTTGAACACGTCCTAACTGTTTAATAAACATAGCGGGTCATGTCTACAAAGCAGCTTATTTGGCAAAAAGGAGTTTCTCTGCTAATAGGAGCATAAAAAAGCAATGCCTTGTGGCTGAGATTGTTTTATGGCCCCCAGAACACACAGGATTCCACTGTCACCTTCCCATTCCCCCCCAGGCTCCGTGACCCTCCTCATCATCTGCCTCACTGGTGACTGGTAACCGTGCATGGGATTCCTTCCTTCCTTCCTTCCCAAAATAACACAAGGAAAAAAGAAATCCCACCCAAAGCCACACACACCAGAAACCCTTGATTTTAGCAGAGATTCCAAGCGTGAAACAGGTTTGCTTTGATCCTTCAGAGACATTTCACTGCTGCAGCATCCCACCACCATGGAGTGAGGCAGGACTGCAGAAAACACAGTGGGAATCTCCCAGCTGGCTCCCAATTTTCCCTGGCTGACCATCCAGCAGTGTTATCAGACCTTGGATCCACCAGGATTAGGTGACAGCATTCCCAGAGTGTCCCTGGCAGTCCCTGAGACCTCTGTGAAGGTGGATGTGCATCCCCATCCCAGTCGCTTGGGGATTGGTTTAATAAATCTGCTCTTGCTTTGTGCCTTCTTCAAATGATGATTAAAGCCTTCCAAGAATCTTTGAGGGCAAGTGAAACTCGGGGATAAAGTATCATTTGCTCCAGAGCTGGTGATCCCTGGGGGGAACATGAAGGAAGTGCTGGTGGCAGTGCCCAGGAAAGGACAGAGCACATCCTTCTCAGGGAGGGGAAGAGCAGAATAAAATTAAAGAGAGTCCAAGCATCATCTTCAGTGAACCCTGAGAACCATCAGGGGAGATCCCAGAGGAGAAGAGCTTAAGGGCAAAGGAGTTGAGGAGAACTGGCAGTTTTTTAAACCCCATTAAGGCAGAAGCACAAACTCCAGCAATAAAAAGCAACGATACAAAGGATAACAAAACCAATCTGCTCTTCTGCAACCTCGTGATCCCTCAGCTGCAAACAAAACCAGCACAGGAACACAGGGGCAACCTCAGAGAGGGGAAGGGCAAAAATCAGACACAACTAGAAAGGACACACAAAAGGGCTCCCAAGGATGACTCTCCCTGTAATGATGGGAGGAGGAAAACGAGGAACAAGGAAAAAGCTTGACCAGTGCACAAGCAATCCACCTTTAATGTTCCTCTGGGATGACAAGAAACCTCTTTGCAGCTTTTCTTCTGCTTTTTCCTAACAGCAAGAGGAAAAGCCCAGACTGGGTTGGGAAGAGAACAGGTGAGAGATATTTAAACTCTCTGGGATGGTTCAGTCACCCCACAGCACGGTGGATAAGTTGGTTTAAAGTATCAGAGGGTGCCAGGGGTGGTTCAGATTGGATAGTAGGGAAAATTTCTTCATGGAAATCTTCATGTGGCAGAGCAGTGGTGGAGTCCCATCCCTGGAGGGGTTTAACACAGTGGATGTGGCACTTGGGGACACGGGTCAGTGGTGGCCTTGGCAGTGCTGAGGGAATGGCTGGACTCAAGGATTTCCAAGGGTTTTCCCAACCAAAAGGATTCTGTGATCCTCTTCCAACTCACACTTTGGAAATCTTAAGGACAGAAGCTGCTCCCTGATAAAGAAAATACATCCCAGCTCCAGGAAATGCTCAGGTTTTGCAGAGCAGTTTCCCAAAAGGTGGTGCTCAGCACCTCCCAGGTGTCTGCCCTGTGCTTGTGTCCCCCCATCCCATCCCTTCCCAGCACAATCCTGCATGGCACAGCCTCCAAGACCATTTCATAACTAATCTGAGTGTCAAAACACACCAAAAACTTGGTGTCTGGGCACCAGCCCCCTGCAGGAACTACCCAACCCATGTGAGCATCTCACAGCCAATAATCTGAATATATTCCCCACCGATGCCAGAAATTTGGGAGCTGACAGTGACTACTACAGAACCTTCAACAAGCCCAGGTCCAGAAAAATGCACAGTTCTACAGGATGAAAATCAGAGATTTCAATCCCATTCCACCTGAGGAACATTTTCTCCCAGAAATGTCTCTGATTACTGTGCTGGCAGAGCATCGAGACTCTTTACCACTGACAGGGGCATGAACTGGGTGCATTCCATGATTCCTGTACCATTTATATGGCTATTTCAAGAGCTCTTGGAAGGCCCAAAAATCAACAAACCAGTGAAGAACTAAATCTGAAGGAAATGATATATCACAATATCTCACTCCTGTAAATAAAACAATAACCAGGGAGAAAAGAGCAACAACTCAGCAGAGCAAGGACTGGTGGCTGGAGATGCAGAGACTCTCTGAGGTTCCAAGTTTTCCAAACCTGCAGTGACAACTCTTTTGACATCACAATACTTCCCATTTCCCTGAAGGATTGAGCCTCTGGAGTCAAGCTACTTATTGAGGAGAAGTTTTTGTTTTAATCTGTTTTCAGTTTCTTCTCCACTTTTTAATGACCTGAAGTAGTTCTCCTAGGAGAGATTATTCATTTTGAATCTCTTCATTTTGCAGGGTTTACAGTGATCACTGGCTTTTGGCCACACACTTATTTAGTGTCTAGACAGAAGAACTTCAGCTGTTTTCTACTGTAAACCTGAAACCTTCAGGTACAGGTATAAACAAAGTTACAGAACAAGAAATATGAGCCAATTCCTCCACAGGATATTTCACTCTGTCTGCTTTGCCTCCTCCTCAGATGCAAAAGTAATAAACCCTATTAATTTAAATCTGATTTTGCTGTTCCACCTCTCCACAATAATTGCCTGGGTTTCAGACACTCAGCCAGCTCAGCTCATCCCAGGAGCTCTGCCTGGTGACTGTGCTGCAGTTTGGTGTCAGGAGGCCTCAGAATCCTCTCTTGCTCTAATTGATTAAAAGATTTGGCCACTTGCACAGCTCCATTTAGGCAATCAGGCTAAAGAGACACTACAGAGCAGGGATGGGGAGGGACAGACTCCTTCTGTGAACACAATTATGTTGCAGTAATTAAGGTGTGGGTTCCCCCTCTCCAGCCCTGGGGAACACCAAACAATCCAGCTCAGAGAATCATGGAATATCCTGAGCTGGAAGGGACCCACAGGCACCATCCAGGACACCCCAACAATCCCAGAGAGCGTTGTCCAAACCCTCCCTGAGCTCTGGCAGCCTTGGGGCTGTGCCCACTGCCCTGGGGAGCCTGGTCAGTGCCCAACCAGCCTCTGGGGGAAGAACCTTTTCCTGGGATCCAACCTGACCCTGCCCTGGCACAGCTCCAGCCATTCCCATCTCCCAGTCTGGTTTTCCTGTCCTCCAAAAAAGCTGCCACATAATCCTGCAGCCCCAACCCCTGAGCCAGCTCTGAGGGGACAGACAGGGCAGGACAAGCCAGTGAGGGGGCCCTGGCAGGAGTGGCAGCTCCCAGGGATCTACTGCTCCCAGGGACAAGGAAAAGGAAGGGCTCCAGTGCAGAGCCAAGCTACATCTTTTACAAATTTTATTTGTAAATCAATTTTATTTATTTTAATTACACCCTAATTTTCTGAGGGCGTTTGGACACTGGCTCCACCCATGAAGTCCAGTGGAAGGTGTCCCTGCCCACAGCAGGGGGTTGGAATCAGATGAGCTTTGAGGTCCCTTCCAACCCAAACCCTTCCATGATTCTATGACTGGTTTGGGGCCAAAACATGTCAGTGCCAACCAGCCAACTCCCATGACATCCAATTCCCAGGGAAAGCAGCTCAACTGCAGCATTTCTTGCCAAAGTGAGGAAGAGAAAACAAACAGGCTCCTTGGCCTTTTCCTCAGCCATCCTGGGAGAGCTGCAGTGGTTGTGCAGTTGGAAACATTGGCAGGCTCTACAAATGTCAAAACCCTGAAAGAAGAGATCGGGGGGGGAAAAAATCACAGAGGCCTTATCTGCAAGGCAGAGCTGCACAGGGAGAGCAGCAAGGCATAAAACTGGTATTAAAAACATTCTGCCAACAGCAGATCAAAACTATTGCTTTGTGTGTCTCCAACAGCACAGATGGCAAGTGCTGCTAAGGAGGGGATGTGTTTATCCTGCACCTGCAATCCCATGTTCAGTCTCACATGGTTAAAACTGCAAGGTGTGGTGGGTTTAAAATAAAGTGTAGAGATAGGCCTGACTGCAGGGTTTGTGAGCTGGGCTGGCACAGGATCAGCAGGGATTTGGGGTAGGAAGAAAGGATGGAAATCCTTCTTATTACGTGTGGAATATAATATATAAGAATCCTTCTTATTACTTATGGAACACACCAAATCACAGCCACACAAAGGCTGCAGCAGCCCAAGCACAGGATCTGCAAAAGTAACCAAAAAGAAGAAAAGTTCTTTCAGCAGCAGGTCTGGTTTATGTCAAGTTTAAGTACATAAAGCAAGCCCTGGGATGAGCCTCAACCTGAGCCTTATATCTTCCAATATAAAACTTCCAGCTTCCCATGGAAGCATAAGACAACCAGCTGCATTCCATGCGGGAGAGTTAATCTCCTGCCCCCCATTTCACCCACAGGAGGTAAATATATGAACAAATACATAAAACCTGTCAGCACAGGCCCCTGGAAAGCTGTTTCCTTGCATTCACGTTGTAACCATCAGGAAAATCAGCATCCTAGGGCTGCTGCTTCCAGGATCCCTCTGAAGTGCACAGGGACAGTTACAGGATGATGAGTTAGAGGCACGTGGAATGAACCAATTTATCCCAATTACTGCACTCTCCAATTTACACTCGCTGGACTTTCCTGACTCAGTCCATGCTCCCCACACAGGCTGCTGCTAAGAAATACTGAATTAGTTCAAATTGAAGAGAAACCGTGTTAAATTCCCTGTGGAGTAACACTGGGAACAAACCACCTCCTCGTCTTTTCTGTTTGGGATGTACCTTCTGTGCAGGACCAGAGGGACAATTCCATGCCCAGCATTCCCAGGCACCCTGCAGAATTCTGTGCAGCACTGGGAGCTGAGACAGGGAAAAAAAGAGACACGAGCAGCACATTCTTCTTCCCAACCATTACACTGCCCTGAAGAAAAGCAGCAGAACTTTCTCATTAAACATTCCATTTGCTGAGTCCTTTCCAGCCAGGATATGAGGAAAGCCCATCAAGAGCACCAATTAACATTTTGGAATAGACTCCCAAATGCAAACTTAACAGGATGACCAGCGTCTGGTGCTTAAACTTAACACCAACGCTGGAAACAGCTTCAAAGTGCCTTCAGAGTTAGAGCAGTGCTTTAAATGTTCTCATGAAATATTTGCATTATTAAAACTTGAAGACTACGAGAGACAGAAAGGGGCACTCAGAGGAGTTTGGCTGGTTTTGCATGGAATAATCATCACAGAATCCTAGAACAGTTTGGGTTGGAAGGGACCTTAAAGCTCATCTTGTTCCAAACCCCTGCCATGGGCAGGGACACCTTCCACTAGCCCAGGTCACTCAGGATTATTTACTGGGATGTTGGACACTCAGGCTGAGGGATGGAATGGGTGTTGTTGGCAACCTGGGGTAAGGCATAAATCCCAAAGGAAACACAGCTCTAATGGGATGAATTAACAAGCAAGGTAGAAAACAAAAGAGCTCAAAAATAACCTCCCTGTCCTCCCACTCAGAGCACTCACACCACTGCTGGTGTTCCTGCTGAGCCTCAGCCTCCCCCCAGTCCCACCCTGCCCAGGGGTGCTTTGAGAACAGGACAGGGACAGAATTCCAGGATGGGTCAGGCTGGAAGGGACCCCAGTGGGTCACTGGTGCCACCTCCCTGCTCAGGCAGGGCCAGCCCAGAGCACAGGGCACAGGATTGTGTCCACAGGGCTCTGGAATATCCCCAGGGAGGAGACTCCAGCCCCTCCCTGGGCAGCCTGTTCAGAGCTGGGTCACTGCCCAGCCAAGAAGTTCTTCCTCCTGTCCAGTTGGAGCTTCCTGGGCATCAGTTCCTGCCCGTTCCTCCTGTGCCATTGCTGGGCCCCCCGAGCAGAGCCTGGTCCATCCTCTGCCCCCTCCCTGCAGCCCCTGACACACAAGGGGAGGTCCCCTCTCAGGGTCTGCTCCGGAGGCTGAACAGCCCCAGCTCCCTCAGCCTTTCCTGCTCAGGGAGATGCTCCAGTGCCCTCCTCATCCTCACAGCCTGCGCTGGCCCCGCTGCAGGAGCTCCCTGTCCCTGCTGTGCTGAGGAGCCCGAGCTGGGCCCAGCCCTGCAGATGTGCCTGCCCAGGGCTGGGCAGAGGGGCAGGATCCCTCCCTGCCCTGCTGGAAATGCTCTTCCTGATGCTCCCCAGGATCCCATTGGCCTCCTTTGCCCCCAGGGCTCCCTGCTGGCTCAGGGACAGCATTGTCTCTGTCCAGCAGACCCCAAACCCCAAGGTGAACCCCCCCCAGGGCTTTACCTCCAGCAGAAGACACACTTGTTGGCACAGGCCAGGCTGGGGGTGGCCTCCATGCAGCGGTGGCTCTCAATCCCATAGAAGGTGTGTTTGTAGCAGCCCCCTCGGCCCCGGAGCATCGACTGCGGGCACAGACACACAACACAAACAGCAGCACAGTGAGAGCACAGACAGACAACACAACACCAGCACAGTGAGAGCACACCCTCTGCAACCACAGTGAGGGCACAGTTTGAAATCTGCTCCCTTCAGTCACCAGGAACTCCAGTTCAAAGCCCTGTGAGTGACACTGCGAGGTCACACCAGTGCCAGCTGCTCGGAGCGATTCCCAGCACACATATATCAACAGTGTGACTGTTTATACACAGCCCTACAGCCAAACTGCATTTATGAGGTCAAATTTACAACTGTTTTGGAGGAGAAAAAACTTCAACCTCATCAGTACCTTCTCCCTTGCAGACCCCAACACAACAATGTGGAGCTTTCACTGAACCAGCCCATGAAAAAAGTAGGAGAAGCCACTGGAGATGCAAGAAGTGTTGTTGTAAAAGGAGTAACAAGGATCAATTTTAAGGCTGCCCTACTGAACACTCAATCCCTTTCATTTGTCTGCCAGAGTGTTTCTTCCAGCACTAAATTAAATAAACACCCTGACCTTATAAACCCTCATTCACACCCAGCAGTGGCTCCAGCAGGACTCTGCACTTCCCTTCCCAGCACAACCACAGCAGCTTCCCAATGGGAATTAACTCCTGTTTAGCATTCAAGCTGCTTGGAGCAAAGACTGCCTTTCGTTAGCTCAGTGAAATAATAATAAATGAGAAAGAAGCTGCTACTCTCAAAAGCAAATTTGAAATATGACACAGCAGCTTCTTATGCACCTGAAGGATCCTGGTGATCCAAAGGAAAGTCTTCACTGAGCAGCAGGGAAAAATATCCAGGTAACCCCTAAGATATGCACAGGCTGGTTGTACAGGTGGAAGATGAAACAAGGTGGGAAATGCTGTTTATTCTATCCATTCTTCAAACAGACTTCAGGAGATCCACAAATTCCAAGAGAGCAAGTTATATTTGGGACTCTTCCGAAAATTTGCAGGTTTTACGCTCTTTTCCGGGATTTGACAGAACACAATCTTTGCTATCTGTGATATCCCTATGAAAGTCTGTTTAATGCTAATCCTGCCAGCCCTGCTCCTGCTTCCCAGTGATACAAATCTCCAACGAGGCTCCTGGAGACACTCACACACTGGTGTGAACCTGAGGCAAAGCCACTGCCTGGAACCAATTTCAGCTCAATTTATTAGAAGCCTTTACATTCAATTCCTGCTTAAGCTAAAAATAGTGTGGGCCTATCTAAGCACATAGAGCTGCTATTTATTTTGTGAAATGGCTTTACAGCACTGCATTAAATTCTGGTTCTTTAATAAAAGCAGCTTCTCTGCTTTTCTCAGTCGCAACATTGGAGTTTGACAAGTTTTTCTTTGAACATTTCACGGCCTTCTCTGACACTAAAAATGACAGAGGAGAGAAATATTTGTAAGAGTGAGCAGCAGAAGCATCAGTGGGATCGATGTAGCTCACAAACACTCCTGACAATACAGGGCTGGGCGAGGAGAACAAGGTTTTTGATGAAACAGTTCACTGACAATACAAACTGGCTGGTGATTGCCATTCCAAGGGCTCTTTCCAAAATAAACAGAGTTAATCAAGCAGCAAAACAGAGCTGAGAGACCAAGGGCTGATCATCTGCACAGCACAGGAATTAGAGATGTGCTGGCACGTTAATGAGGGGCTGATTCCCACAGGTTCTCGTCCCAGGAATGCTGGAGGGGTTGGTGTTCTGCAGCAGGGAGGGTGAAGGGAACAGTTGAGGGGGCTCAGCCTGGAGAAAAGGAGGCTCAGGGGGGACCTTCTGGCTCTGCAACTCCCTGACAGGAGGGGGGAGACCAGGGGGGTCGGGCTCTGCTCCCAGGGAACAAGGGAGGAGAGGGAACGGCCTCAAGCTGTGCCAGGGGAGGGTCAGGTTGGACATCAGGAGGAATTTCTCCATGGAAAGGGTGGTCAGGCACTGGAAGGGGCTGCCCAGGGCAGTGGTGGAGTCCCCATCCCTGGAGGGGTTTAAAAACTTGTCGATGTGGCCCTTGGGGACCTGGGTCAGAGGTGGCCTTGGTGGTGCTGGGGGGATGGTTGGACCCCATCTTGGAGCTCTTTTCCAACCTTAATGATCTGTGATTCTCTGATTAATGTTACTCCCCAAATGTACAATGTTAGAGACCAACTTTCAAACCGTGAGTTTCTCGGGGACCTGCACAGAACAACTGAAACTACAAACACCCTGAAGGAGCTGAAATTTGTTCTCCAGGGCTTTGTGCCTCTGCTGGGAACGTTTTTAAGTCTGCAAACTGCTTGAAAAGGTTGCAGAGCCTACAACAGACAACTGCAGGGCTGGGAGGGTGGTGTTTTCATATATATCATAGAATCACTGAGGTTGGAAAAGCCCTCCAAGACCATGGAGTCCAACCATTAACCCAGCACTGCCAAGCCCACCACTAACCCATGTCCCCAAGTGCCATTTCCCAGCTTTTGATGTTTCTTCAGTGGTTTCTCCCCTATTTTAGGAAACCAGCCCCTTCCTGAGGGGCTTTTGCACACCCTAAAAGCCTCTTGCCCAAATTGTATCTGTGTTTCCCTTTCCCATCTGTATTTATCCTTTCCCATATGTACATACCCACGGATATTACACACAACCACATCCATACACACTCCCACAAGGGGAATTTTTAATAGTCCTACCATTAAGAAGCGACACCTCACTGTTTAAATCTGATTTAGAAAACCAGTGGAGGAGCAGTGACTGTCCCAGCCCAGCACAACAGGCTCAAACATCCTTGTGTGCCCATCCAGAGCCCTCACACTGGTGATGGAAACACTGGTGATGGAACCTTCCCCCTTTCCTCTGCAGTGTCCTGCTCCTGCCATGTATTCCAGCAGGCAGGAGAGATTTTAGCAGACAGCAGAATAACAGGAAAAAGCAGCAAATGATGCTCCCAGCTCTTTGCCACAGTCACATTCTCACTCTTCACAGCGGGGTTTTAACAGCTTGAAATGCAAGACTGGAGCTGGAAAGAGGCAATTTGGTTTTGTGCACACTTTTAAATGACATTTCATTGGGAAAGTGAAATACCTGAGTAAGTCTCTAGCTTTGTTTTATTTCCCAAAAGAGAAAAGGAAAGAGAGCACACCTTTGTCCACCGGCAGAGCTTCACCCCGGAATGGCTCCCAATGAGTTTGTAACCTGAAAACAAAGCAAAAAATAACGAAGAGCTGATTTTAACCTGCAGTAATTGAGACATAAAACACACCAATGGGTACCCAAAAGGATTAAGCATCACAGTCTCAGTGCTGCTCTTCCTCATTGGCCCCCAGGTGACACCCCCAGCAATGGCAGAGCCAAGGCCGTGGCACCCAAGGAACTTCAGTCAACTGGGAATGGTTCCTTTTGATGGGACATTTATTTATATTGCTCAGTCCTGTTTGAATCAACAGGGTGGCCAGAAAACCCCTCTGTGGAACAGGATGGCAGAACCACAGGTCTGCCCCAGCAATGTGGGAAGGGAGCAGGACAGGGAATCACAGACATTTCCCTGGCCCTGAGCCATGACCCTCCAACAGCCTCTTCCCAGAAGCCAGGATCCCAAATCCCCACTGCAGGTCTGACTGAGCCCAGAGGACAACACCCGATTCCCAGAGCAGCTGTGAGGGCAGGAGAAGGGATCCAACACACAAAGCTCAGCCTAAACCCAACCTTCAGGCTCAGCAGCTCCATCCCCGTGGTTCTGGTGCAGCCACAGCGAGGGAGCTGCTCCTCCAGGCCCACAGAAAAGCACTGCCCCATTCCCAAGATCAACACAATTCCATTTAAATGCCTTGCTCCAGGAGGATTAATCCCACAACATTCATTAAGCACTAAGTGCTATTATTACCCAAACTGCTCGAGTTGGGTTATATCCCTCTTTGAAAAAAAAGTGCTTAGAAGCCAATATGTCTCAAGGATTAAAAGTCACTTCAAAATCAGCATAAAAATAAGAGGGATTTGTGATGCCTTGCTGTGTCACTCACAGGGCAGCTTTTCAGTGGCATTGGCCTCGCTGGCCCCAAACTCAGCACATCCCAACTGCCTGCTTCAGGGGGCAAAAAAATATCAAATGTTAGCTGTCAGGTCTTCTTCCTGCCAACCAGCATGAGCTTAACAGGGAAAAAAGTCTTCTGCTCAGCACAACTGGCCTTCAGCTCCTCCAAGGAGCAGCAGCACAATTCCCTGCCCTGCCTGTTTGTCCCTGGGCAGCTCTGGCACAAGATTCCAGGGAGAGTGACTGCATCCCAAAGAGCCCCACAGCTCCAAGGGCAGTGAGCCAGCCAGGAATGACAGTGCCAGCAGATGCCACAACAGCTGCACCAGGTGGAAGTTAAACTGTGTGAAGGGGGAATCACAGAGTACGTGGAGCACAATGTTCTGGCTGCTGCCACTCAAAGCCAGCTGGGATCTGCCCAGGCTCCTCTCCTGCTTCACCTGGGGTTTGATCCCAGCTCCTCACATTGGTTCTGTCCTTGCTGGGGGGTCAGGACAGGTGGTTTTAGCCTGAGGTGACACAGGACACTGCACAAAGACCAGCACAGAGGAGGTGCCCGGCAGGACCCTCTGTGAGATGGCAAAGGGCCCAAGTGCCAGATGAAGTGAGGTTTTGGGGGCTTTGGGGGCTTCAGAGCCAGGCTGCTCCCGTGGCCTGGGCTCCATCTCCTCTCCTGCTCCGTGTGGATGGACAACACTGAAACATTTGCCTCTCTGAGTGAACAACCCCCAATACACACAGGGATGGAGCAGCTCTGCCGGGAGGAAAGGCTGAGAGAGTTGGGATTGTTCAGCCTGGAGAAGAGAAGCCCCAGGGTGACCTAATTGTGGCCTTCCAGGACTTGAAGGGGCTCCAAGAAACATGGAGAGAGACTGTTTACAAGGTTTGGAGTGACAGGACAAGAGGGAATGGCTTCCCACTGACAGAGGGCAGGGTCAGATGGGATATTGGAAGGAATCCTTCCCTGTGAGGGTGGGGAGGCCCTGGCTCAGGTTGCCCAGAGAAGCTGTGGCTGCCCCATCTCTGGAAGTGTCCAAGGCCAGGTTGGATGGAGTTTGGAGCAACTTGGAATAGTGGAAGGTGTCCCTGCTCATGGCAGAGGGTGGCACTGGATGATCTTTAATGTCCCTTCCAACCCAAACCATTCCATGATCAGCTCTTCTACCATGGAACTGACGGTCCCCAAAGCCACAAGCAATACTGGGGACACCTTTCCCTGGGACTGGATGACACCCAGAAGATCCTGTGGCAGGTTCTGACACTCTCCAGTGGCACAGCCACACACACACAACTGCATCTGGCTGTGACCCGACATTTCCCCCACCCTGGCTCTGCTCTGCCCAGATCTTCAGCTTTTCTTTGCAAACAGGTTTGTCCAGCAAGGTCTA